TTTGCCGACCTCCAAATTCAATGCATATTCAGTTATGGAACTAATGTTAGACTCTTCATCATATTTGGCAGTGAGTTGTCACCACATTGCAAACCAACATTTTGCACAAGTTTGGAACAAAGATCTTCACCACACCTAGCACTAGAATCAACTAAAGAAAATTTTAAGTTCATATTATATGCACCTTGAGATTGTCTTTGAACAACAAATGTATCGTGATTTTTCTTATGCCTTGGAGCCGAGATGGGTTGGCTTGCATAGGACTTTCCACGTACTCTTGCTAAATTTGTCTTTTGGTAGGCATACCGTAATCTCCACCTGATTTAGATCCTTAGTTCAAAGTTAGTGCATAAACGCCTCATCGTCACTTGCTTCATCTCTTTCCATGTGTTGATATATTCACGCCCCAGTACAAGCTCATTGTCTTGTATTTGATTCCACCAAGTCGATGGAAGCAAGGTTTACTCGCTGATGATTAGAAAGATTTTGTACTCCCTAAAAATTTGATCACATTGTTCCTCCCATTCAATATATGAAATAGGGCCTTCTTGTCCTGTAAACTTGGGGACACTCAACTTGATTCGAGCAAGATTATCAGGATCATCTCGATGACGATCATGAGAGAATTCATGACCACCATGGGTAACACTTCGATGAGTATGGTGTTGTCCATACCCTCCATAGCCATGAGACTTGGTTGGGCTATGTTGCTGATGTGGAGCCCGCCCGCCCGTCGCAGGAAGACATTCATTGAACATCCTCTCCATGCCTCCACCAACGAGTTTTCTAATTGAAGTAACTCAACCCATGTGATTGGTGCTTCCTCTTTTCCATGATGACCACCACGAACACTCGAATTACCGAATCCTACCATGTTAGGCAAGAAAAAGTGGAATAGGTAAATTTGTGAAATCTCACAACCTCACCTCTTACTTACCAATGCTTGTGCTCATTCTCAAGGAAAGTGAGCATGTTGGTGCAACAATTCCACATATGTGATTGAGAGGTTGCAAGGATTACGAATCGAACGACCCGGTTTTAGATTTTGTTGGAGCTATAGGTGTCTATTCAAGGGAGGCTATGATACTATAACCAAGTGGTGTAAAATGTTCAAAAGATAAGTAAACATTGCTATTTTTTAGAACGTTCATTGCACGTGTTTCATTAAGAAGAAGTTAGAAGGTTTACACGCCCATCATCACATCACGGCGAGGTGCCATGAGTGATGTGGAAGAACACAAACACAAGGCACCGCTAGGCGGTGGAACGCACGTTGTTGTAACTAACTAAGAAACTAAAAGTGCGACCGAAGAGCTTGTGACGGTGAGCAAACCTGTGCTCAGGACGCCTGCGACGCCGCCCGCCTCCTGCGAGCACCAGCCAAAGGGAAGAGCTCCCGCATTGCTATTTAGAACACCACAAACTTGAGCACACAGAATTGAAACTTGCTGCAAATCACAACACAACCCCTTCTTTTCACTTCTCTTTTTTTATTCTTTCCTTCTTCTTTCCTTTTTTATCTCTAATTTTTTATATTAATTGCGGTGCAGATAACAAATGAAATACAACACAATATAAGTAAAGATGGTGACTAGCAACTTATTGAACACAACGACACAAAAAGGTAACAGTACTATGAAAACACTATAGGAATTTTTGTGGCTTTTTAGTGGACTTTTGGAGATGAACAAAACAATAATATATGATGGGTAAATCAAAGGTAGATATGTGGATTATGGCAAGACCTGCCGTGACAATGAATGCTTTGATATCAGATGACAAGGAACCTCCTTGAGGGTGGCCCGATCACCATGACAATCGATTGATGAACCGAAGATAATAACTTGCTGCGAATAGTGGGATAACTAGCTTTATACCTGACAAAGGATGGATGCGACCAAGCGACGGGGAGAGAGAGTCATCGAAACCGTGAGGACTTTGACTCAATCTTCGAAAGACCGCATAACCACAATCTAGAACTAATCCACACTAAAGACCCAATGAGTCTAGAGCATGAACTAGGAGGCCCAAAGGGATCTCTTCACAAATCCAAGAAGAACAAGGAAGAACAAATGTTTGAGTAAGACACTCAGCAACTTAGCTGCAACACCATATGGTTTATCAAATCATCAAAAGTTTCTAATAGTTTAGATGTAAGGGTTATTTATATTAAGAACAACCCTCCTAGTTGGGTATGAATTTGGACTTAGTGCTTCTGAAGCTACAGTAGGTGAAAGGTCTCCATGAGATGGAATTTCGCGGAGTCTCGTGCTACTGTTAGCCTCCTGAGCAGTCTCCACTAAGGCCATAACTCCTTATTAGGAAGTCCAAAAACTGTGTCATGATTATGTTACCAACCATGTATAGCATGCATCATAAAACTTTGCAACATGGTACAATATTGAATGAGAAGTTGCACCAAGATATTTCCCCAAGAAGACCATTGGCCTTATGACAGTCTAATCTCATCATTGATATATCCAAATTTGTTGATCCTAGAGGTTCTGTAAACTTGACTTGACAAGCCTTCGAAAAAGTGCTCATTGACATCCATAGCCTTGGGGACTCAAAAGGTATGGTCATTTCTTTTTATGGTACTGTCATAATCGGAAGATTTGACCAGCATCGACTAAATCACTTGAATCTCTTTATTAGAAGGCCGTCGAACGTGGATGCATTAGAATGTAGACTCTATAAGATTTCATAAAGTACTAAATGACCCCATAGAGCCTTCCAAAATCAACAGTTATAACTATTTCTTTCTGCTGGTCGATCTGTTGGTCCGAACATCACCCGATCATTGCACTTGTACTTCACGCCTGTGGCTTGTTATTGAACCTAAGCAACATCAATGTACAACAAGGTAGCATACCATCCTTAGATACGGTGACATCATAACCAATTAAAAGTAAATTCACTTGTCCATGTAGCTTCTTAGCATGACTTCGTGTGAGTGGACCATGATCACGATCACTTGTGTTAAATGGTGAATGCTCTTCGTGTTCCAACACATGATCAGCCGGGATGTCCTCATCAGGAAGTGACTGTGGCGGTTTCTTCTTCGTCGAAGCCTCTAAGCGGGATTCCTCTGACGGTGTTAGGGTAAGAATGCGCAGAGGAAGCGCCCTGGCATCGACCATGGAGCTAACTGCACCGACATAAGGGGCACTCGCGGTCGTATGTTGGGGGACGACAAGGTTTCCCTAAGTCGCTTACGAAGCAACACGAAGCCGAAGGTGTGCATTTGGAGCCACGCGTCGCGCCGCTGGAGCAGCAAGATAGCCTGCAAGAGTAGGAGGTCATGCCCCCTGCCGGGGACACACGCCTTGTGCCCTAGAGGCCAGAGGCATCGCCCGGGGTTTTTGACCAGGGGGAAGGCACCAGTTGGACCCCTTTAAGCACACACTCGATTAATGCAAATTGTTAAACACCCTTGCACGTAGGTTGATGTCCTCCTTGGACCTAAACAAGGCTGAGGCAATCAACTGCTTTCAGCTTGGTGAGAAGGCAGCCCAAGGGATCTACTCGGACCTTGGTGTCCCGAGAGAAATCATGGCAGAGTGCATCAGGGTCATCAATCAAATCGAGTCGAGGGTAACCGAGATGACCTCAAGACTTCACCCACCATGAAGGTGAGTTTCAAGTTCGATTCCTGAATTCATTTGAGTTGCTATTGTGCATGCTCTTACCGGTAGCCCTTGAGCCTAGTCGATCAAGACTGAGATCGTCTAGCGGGTGTAGTCGCATTTTCATGGGGCCACGCAATGGATCCGGTGGATCTAGCCCCCAACTCTACAATTGACTTACCGAAGTTTATCGTAGACTTATACTTTGATTTTTACTTTTCTTGCTAGATGCCCTGGAGTGCTCGATTCCTGGATCCCAGCCTTAATTGTCGAGGCACACTGGGAGAACAGAGCCCTGCTACATTAGGTGCAAGATTTAGAGGCGGAAAACTCATGATCTCAAGCGCGCGTGTGGCTAGCAGGTTGGGTCTCCTTGGATTATGTTTTTTTGGTCATTTATAGGCCTCGATTTATGATTTCTTGGGAACGATTTATAGAGGCGGTTGTATTCTGAGCCGCCTCTACAAATCAATTTCTAGAGGCGGCTCCTGTTTCCAGCTGCCCCAATAAATCCGATTCGTAGAGGTCGCTTGAAAATCGCCTCTACAAATCATTGATTTGTAGCAACAGAGAAGTAGAGGTGGCTAGGCCTGCCGCCTTTACAAATCATGGTTGTAGTAGTGTCACACACCTCAGGTGCTAGAAGCCTAGAACGCCTGGGCAGCAAACAGCCGAACTCGCAGTAGAGCAGGAAAACCGGTCTGAGCAAGTTTCTCTGATTTCTTCGCCCAAAACCCACACTAACATTTACCGGGAAGACCCATCAGCGGCGCTCTAGGGCTGGCAAGGCCACCTAGATTGTCCATGGATCTTGTCAAGAAAAGTGTAGAGCAACAGGGTATTGGAGTGGAAGAGATTATGGTTTGGAAGTGCAAAAGTAAGGTAGATTGATAGCTGGACTCTCCAAGTGCAAAAGTTCGGCGGTCTACAGCCAAAAATTGCTGTCAACAGCACGATCGTCCAGACGTCCACACACACAACTAAGTACCCATGCAAGCATGAACCAGACCTTTTTTTTTTGTATCCAGGTACAGGTAGTTCCATTTTCACATAATAGCACTACAAGAGTAATTGTTTACAACAATGTTGAAATAATTAAACATAGAAGCAGACAACTTCCACTATAACAGTAATTGTTTACAACAATAATGTTGAGATAATTAAACAGACAAGCAGACAACTATTCAGTAGTTGGTGTCTATTCCATCAGAACGATCAGAGGAGATGGAATTTGGAGAGTCGAGCTACATGTGTCTGGTAGTTATTGGTGCAGATTGATGACGGATATACAATCATAAATTCATAGTCATAATAGAGACGAAATCACTCGGTACGTCTGCTGGACAATGGCACGGCCAGCTCAACGCAAGAAGCTCAAGCATCAAGGGGTGGCGGCAGGAAAGGACCAAGATAATACATGAGAAGGAGAACATGTGAGACAAACTCACCACCGGTGCTAAGATGCTCGTAGTGGAAACCACCCCCGCAACGAGGCGCGGTGTAGTAAAGCATCTCCGCCCACACCTTGGCGATGAGTTCCCAACGCTCAGCTTCATTCTTGATGCCGATGAGCTCTTGGGCTACCGCAATTGCACGGGGCAGCACCGGGGAATTGAGAGTTTTAAAGCTCCTCTTGAGTTTCTTCGTATGATCATCATCATCAGTATTATCATCATAAATGTTAGCTGATTCTTGGTTCTCAATTTCAGTCGTTGGATCTTGTTGTTTCTCTAGTTCGGGGTGATGCCTGATCTGGATTTCACCCATCGAGTCTTCTTCTTCTTGCTTTTTAATTGCTTCAAAAAGCTTCATGACAGGAGCATCCTTGTTTCTTCGATGAACATTTGGAGGCTGTGGTAAAAGTTCGGCAATTTCACCACGGGTTCTGTCATGTACGATCTGGGAGTTGATAGTAAGCATCACACCGGACTTGAAGACAAGGTACATGATGTAGTTTGATAGTTCTGTGCTCGTCTGCTTGTGCTTCATCACCGCTGCTTCATCATGATCTGGATCAGAATGATTAGTACCTCCAAAGTGGTAGCATATGTCTGTTGCAATGTGCAAGATGAGGACGCTTGTCGGGAAGTCAGCACTGCTTCCGAAGGTCTCCCCTAGTAGCTTCAATGTTGTCGTCGTCTTGGCAGGATGTTTATCAGGTGAATAATGTTCATCATGCTGGTGGTGGTCCATCCGATAATAGTGGAGTGCTAGCTGACCACGGGTGCTGGCAATCCTCCATTCTTTTCTTGTACCTGAGACTAACAAAGTGTCTAGGATGAACTCTTTGATGGACTTTGTGACGGGTTTGCTTTCAACATCGCAGGCAAACCATTTCCCAATGAAAGACATGCCTGCAGTATTGATGATGTTGTATTGTCCGAGCTGTTGGGACCACTGTTTGGTGCAGCACGGCAACAAGACAGACTGAATACACTTGGCTAGGCATGGACGATAGAAGCTCAAGTAGGGGAAAATGAAGAGTGCGGCAGAGGACACATCTAGGGCTATGGCTCCTACAAGCAGTAGGTAGGTTACCGTGATATCAACTCTGCTGCTATCGTGGAGTTGGCCCCCCTTCTCGGCGGCTCGGAAGAGTGCCAGTGCTATTGTGGTGGCTGTTACGATTGAAAAAACCATGAGGAGGAGGATTGCCAAGTAGGAGATGCGTAGACAAGTTTTCAAAATGGGATGAGGAACCCGGTCAAAGGATTGAAAGAAACAAAATCGAAGATGGTCTTTGGTATAAAGTCGGCTGTAGCAATGTTCCAGAAGTGCTCCAACATGCTCGTAGGCACTGTGGCGGCTTTCGCTAGACAGAAACCCCTTGAGCATGACTGGTAGAAGATCACCATAAGCACCTACAGTGATGTTCTGTGTCTGGTTGAGGGGAGCATCCATTGAGATGATATCAGATACGAGTGTCACGGCGTCCCAGAACAGTCCACTTGGTGGCTCTGATGAACTACCTTTCTTCATCATCTCAAGTGTCACCCTCATGTTTTCTTCGGCTTTATCTCTGGTTCCGCTTTCTCTCGAAAACCACCCCTTGCCTCGCACATGCTGATGCCACCCCTCTAGCTTGATCCTCAAATTAGACTTGTTCCACCGCCTGAGCCGGTCTGTGTCGGCAAGGTAGAGGCAACAGACACGCTCGGCGTACTTGAGGCACCCACAGGCGAACATGATCACCATAGCCGCCCTGAGCCGGGCGTCCGGCCAAGAAGCTTTAGCCACCACGTACCCAGCGACCCCTGCCTGGATGACCAGGTTCAGCAGGTGCCTCCGCCACAGCTCGTTGTCCTGCTTGGAGAAGGCCGTGATGGTTTCCTGCCCGCCCAGGTGAACGAGCACGAAGGGCGCCCAGAAGGACATGAGCTCGTGGCCAGGCTCTCTCGCACGGACCGCGAGGTGGCCCAGCACGAAGACGGCCACCGAGTCGGCCGACAGGTACGCAAGCCAGAGGACGGTTTGCAGGAACCATTTCGAGCTGCGCCTCCGCATGCCCGCGAAGAGGAAGAGGAAGACTTGCAGGGAAAGGCTGAGGAGGATCATGAAGTGGATCTCCCACGCATTCCACAGCTCTTGGACGACAGGCACCAAACTGAGATATATATATATAGGGCATCCATGGATTAATTAATAAGTTCATCACAGCGTACATACGTTATTTGTTGCTGTCAGTGATAACGACTAGCAAGAATCCTAACACACATCATGTCAGTGATACGTTATTTACAATCCTAACACACACACACACATGCAAGGAAGTATTATAAAGTAAAGCTTATCCCAAGAAAGTATCTATGAGTATTATGTCAAAATATGAACATATATAAGAGATAGTTTCAACTATGCACATGTCAAACATATATCAAGACAGTGTTATCCTAGATGCTAAGACCTAGATAGTTGATTATCCTCTTTTTTAAAATTTAGATGATATAGATAAGCGGTTAGACGGACTACACAATTTTTGTAGTGTAGGAGCAATATACGAACACTATAGATCCATAATACATTTTTTTTCAATTGTTATTTTAGGCATACACATAGTTTCACAATTTCGCATAGATAACTAGACAAGTAGGCATAGATACGCTGACATAAAGAGTACAGTGCAAACATATAGAGCTCAGATAACACTTAGCATATGAGTAAATGCAACTGGTTAATTATTGTTCAGTCAAAAAAAAACTGGTTAATTATTGCCGAGAGACAATGTCTAAACAAGTGACTTGACATTTAATCGCATTTATCTTTTGTTTAATTTCATTTAGATCATCTCTGTTAAACACATCGCTAAGCAGTTCTGAAATGGCAGATGATGTGACCAGAGACTTTAGAGCTCGTCCCTATATGCTGGAATTTTGAATTAAGCCAAGGCACTCGAGAGCATGACCAAAGTTGGCATGGAAATTTTGACATTGTTGACCGTCTATATGCGTTTCTTCTTTATTTCAGTGACTAACTAGGTCATAAACTGTATGCATATACGCTCCATTTTGTCAGTTACATATGCATGCAAACTATGGGTTGGGAGTAACAGGTATATGCAACACGATAAAGTTAATTCTGTTAGGATATTAGCAAATAGAAATGAGCAAATACAAGTAATTTTTATTAATGGTAGCCCGAAATCTATCTATCTATCTATCTATCTATCTATCTATATATATATATATATATATATATATATATATATGTATGTATGAATTTCTAGTAGTTTTTTTAATTCTTTAACCATGCAACGACATATGTTAATGGGTTAGTTGAAAGAACCAAAGGTGCTATTGTTTGTTGTCATATCTGCACTACTACTTGCTTACTATGTCAGTTTATCAGTGCATTATATCATTATACCATTGTCATTAAATGGCTGCCAAGTAGGATTTTTTTGCTAACTTGGCATTGAACTAAGAAAGAGAGGAAAGCAGTATCATCCAAAAAATATAGCTTGGGCTCAATATCCAAGGCTAGAAAATAGTGCACAAGTTTTGGGCACATAGACTAACTTTTGTAACAGTGAGTTGACTTAAGATTCATGAGACATTGCACCAAGATACATTTATGCATAGTGACTTTTATATGTAGCTGTTGATTGAATACCCATTTCAAATAAGAGCCATGAATTAATATAGCTCGGTTTTGCATATTTAAGTCTTAGGCTCAGCAGGACTCCTCATATATTTCTTAATTTATTCTAAAATTATCAGAGTTACTTGTGATGACTTATTCTTAATATCTGCTAGCCAAAGGTACTCACAGGGTAGTGTGCATTCACATATTCATATGAGTGAGTGTAGGTGTGTGTATAAGAGCTTCTCCACTGTGTACTGTTTAGAAAAAATATCAAGTCTGAACCTACTTAAGCAAAACAGCAAGAATGGTGTGGCTTTCATAGTTAATTTGGACCTCGTACTATTGAGACTTTGAGAGTTACTACTAGGAGACAGGTGGGAAAATAAAACTCTATGTCAATTTTCAAGTTCCTGATCTGATCAATGAATGCAGTGCCGCCAAATGATTTTTAACAGTTGATTCCACCATGATCAAGAGAGGTTGCAAAGTGTTGTGTCGTGAGGAAGTGTAGCATGCAGCAGATCAAATCTGATTTCAAATGCATGGCTGAAGTCACACATATAGCTAGTAGACTTGTAAAGGTGCTCCCCACATTCAATATTTGTTATAAGGAAGAAGATGGCATATGACTAATTGATGGTTGTTTTAAATTTCCACTTAAAAGAAACTACTTGCACCAATTTGCATATAATTAAAAAAAATGAAAGGAACAAACTTGCATGTTGCAATACCTTTGTGTATCGATCAGATGGCCCCTGCCAGCTCCTGCGGCGGTTACCATTGGCCTCATTTCAATCGCAGGTACAGGAAAGCACCACAGAATAGGTATTGCACTGCTGCCTTGCAGTGGTACTGTATAAATAATACCCGGAAATGATGAGTGATTCACAAGCAGTTTGCTAAGATGCTTTGCCGGTGGTTGTTAAGATGCTTGCTTGGATAGAGAGAAAATGTCTGACATGTAAGCTTCACGTGTAGAGTTGATATCTTTAATTTGTGGACCCGCTATGTTAATCCTCACTTAATAGTCTCAATGATTTACATACCAATAACACTAGCAATATAATGATGTTAACTTATATAAATAAAAGAGTGAATTGTGCCGTGGGTCCTCCATGGACTTTTTTCCACTCATTTGGGTTCATAAACTTTGTCTACGTCCTAGTCGCCATCCAAAGAGGCCACATAGGACTCTACTGCCAACACTGACGCCACATGCTCTTTTTTTCATAAATTGGCAAAAACATTGAAAAATGGTATAAATTATAAAAAAATAGTAAAAAGAAAAATCTAATTTTGTTAGACTCCACATGAGTAGATCTATGCAATAGATATATAATATGTCATGCTTTAATTTAAAGTTTTACGGAGCTTATACACACTTTGCCAACTCAATTGATACCTCGGATACCAGTGGCTAATTCATAGTATGATTGAGAACGCGTAGATGTGAATCAATGCTTTCCATGCATGATGTGCAGAGCAGACACAAAATTCTTTTCTTGCGATCAGAGCAGGGCAAAGCAGGCCTAGATGCTGCTTGCCTCCTGGTGTATATATTCCAGCTGATGCTCAGAAGTAGAGCATAAATGCCTCCGCTAAATATGGATTGCCTCTCCTTTGGGAACCACTCTTTTGCTTAGTATAAATTTACCAGTAGGGGGAAGACCCATTCTGTTCCCATGGAAGCATAAAAAGACATATATGCGCTGGTTATCTATCTATCTATCTATCTATCTATCTATCTATCTATCTATCTATCTATCTATCTATCTATCTGAATAAATGTGACTGTATCCGAAACTCCATGGGCCTTTATCGTCCATCAGCGATTTAAATAATTAGATTTCTGTTCCTCAGTAAATGCAAGGGTGGCTAACTGGGTGTGATATCCTCTTTATGATACGGAAGCTAGCTGCTACCATGGACACCATATACGACACTAATAAATAAACAAATATATAGATACTCCCTATGTTGTGTAATATAGTGCATTCTAAAAATTTAAAGACAACTTAAGGAAACACCCAAATGACGCATGTACCCATAGATTATACCAATTATAGAGTCTCTTCTTAAATCATGGTTTCCTTTTAAACAAACTTTGCCAAATCTAAACATAGTTATTGTGTAGAATGCATTATATTTCAATAAAAAAAGTCACAATGCACTATATTTGAGGATAGAAGGAGTAGATATTGAATACTTCTTTATCTAAAAAAAGATATTGAATACGTGCGCTATATATAACATGAAAAATGGCCTGCACTGCACTGCACCCCTATATATGTACACAGTCACACAAGTAGCTAAGTCTGCATATATCGATCAACATCAAAACAAAGAAGAAAGGATCGATGGCCAGTGCTAGAGATACAGGAGCGTCGTTGTACATGTGCATATCCTCCTCCTCTTCTTGGGGATAGTCTCTTCTTCTTTCTCCAGTGCCAAGCACCAGCTGCTGGTCTCCAAAGATGAAGTCATGCGCGACTGCAAGTTCTACATTGAGAAAAATACGCCATGGTATCCAGTGCCATATGAGGTTGGCTGCTGCGAGAAAGTCAGACAAGCAAACGTAACAGCAATCTGCCAGGAGTTTACAGAGCAGGACAAGGAAAAGATCTCGCTGCCAAAGTGGGTTAAGGTGACAAGAGTATGCGGGCATGCTTTACTCGACGGAGTTAACTGTTCAGGCTACATTGCTCCACCTAGCTTTAGCTTTATGTAAAGTCACTCCAATTCGGATATATTAAATAAATCCCATATCACTACGTGAAAAATAGTTTGTAGCAACGGGACAAATTTTTTTTAGGGGCGACTGGTGTTGGAGCCACCCCTACAGTGGCATGCTCGGAAGCCCAGAGACCAGCCGCCCCTACAAATGAAACAGCAGGGGCGGCTGGTGATACGAACCGCCCCTACAAATGGGTCTGATTTATAGGGGCGGCTCACTCACCAGCCGCCCCCGGTGTTTCTATTTGTAGGGGCGGCTTAATCACCAGCCGCCCCTACAAATGCCTCTGGCTATATATTGTAGAGCACAGTAAAAAAAATATTCTCCAGCTTCTCTTTCCCTTCCCTCTCTCTCTCTCTCTCTCGCGCTTCTCCCCCCCACGCTGGCAAAGCGGCCAAGGTGACAGGGCGTGGCCGGGCGTGGCGGGCCAGCCTGACGCCGCCGCCCTCTTCCTCCTCTTCCTCCCCGCCTCTCCCCCCCTCCCCTTGGCGCCTTAGGGCGCGCGGCGACGGCTGCTCTCTCGCATCCTTCTTTCTCCTCCTCCTCTCGGTGATCGCAGTTTGATCTGTCGACCGCTTCGTTGTGGTCGTCGCCGCGTTTGGCGCTGGGGTGGCGGATCGGCATGCTCGTCGGCGGATCCGGTGGTGGCTGGTCCGGGCTCGCCTCCCGGGCGGCGGTTGTTTCGCGGTGATGACCGGACTGCGGTCCTGCAAGCGCGGTGGCAGCTCGATCCATGCGG